TAATACCAGGAATACATATATTACTAAAATTAAGCCTCATCTGCGTCAGGTGATTTTTTTACAGTCCCCTAAACGAGTTTCCCATTAATCTTTTCTTCATTCACTTTGCTTTTTAGCACGTAACCATTTTTTATTTATTCAATTAATACACATTATCAATATTAATTATGCAATGATATCAATTATAATATGGCGAATAATAATATCCCCAAAACAAATATTGTTGTAGTTAATTTACGTCGCACTAGAGCTGCACAATGGGCTATTGGCGACGGTCTGGGAAACATCCCTGAGGATGATCCGAAGACATGCCATCACAATTTTGATCCTCTGCAGATGGCACCCCAGCTTCGGTAGCCCAACGACCAATACGCGAAGCCGAGTACTTTACGGTAGAACAGTTTAACGAGGACCAGTACCGCACACCCTCGGTCCCTACGCAGACTGATCCAAGTGGTCACCCACCCCAAAACGAATAAGTATGGTATTTCCATTTACTTAGCTTTTTAGTAATCAGATTACTTTTTTATTTATATTAGTAGATATTATCAAGCCTGGATAGTTTGGTTGGTAGGTCATTGGATTCGTGTTCGTGAGAACGGGAGTTCGAATCCAGCCGGCCGAAGAATCCCCGTGTATTAAATAGTGACTGGTGNTCCCTAAAACAAATATTGTTGTAGTTAATTTACGTCGCACTAGAGCTGCACAATGGGCTATTGGCGACGGTCTGGGAAACATCCCTGAGGATGATCCGAAGACAAGCCATCACAATTTTGATCCTCTGCAGAGGGGATGGCACCCCAGCTTTGGTAGCCCAACGACCTGCACGCGAAGTCGAGTACTTTACGGTAGAACAGTTTAACGAGGACCCATACCACACATCCTCGGTCCCTACGCAGACTGATCCAAGTGGTCACCCACCCCAAAATGAATAAGTATGGTTTTTCCATTTACTTAGCTTTTTAGTAATTAGATTACTTGTTTATTTATATTAGTAGATATTATCGAGCCTGGATAGTTTGGTTGGTAGGTCATTGGATTCGTGTTCGCGAGAACGGGAGTTCGAATCCAGCCGGCCGAAGAATCCCCGTGTATTAAATGGTGACTAGTGCACGTTAAATCTGTCGGAGTTATGAAATCCTCCAAGTTCCCTTAACAAATCAAATGGTACTGAACCAGGAGTTCCCTTGATAGGGTTAATTATTACAAGGCGACAGAGTTAAACATCGGTATTCGCAAACTCAAATTTGGGTCGACTGTTCAGTGACCGTTATAAAATAAAATAAAATAAGTATTATCAGCATAAATTAAGCATTATTGTAGTCAGTAATAGTATGGCAAATCTTTACGGTTCCTCGAAACGAATAAATACCTGTACTTCATTCATTTTGCTTTTTAAGTGCATAGCTTATTTCCTTTATATCGATATGCATATATGACCTTTTATCGATTTCCTTTATATCGATATGATAATTAATAATTGGCATCAATAATGGTAGGGTGATTTTTTTCGTTTCTTCTAAGCGGCACCACTTTTCCATTCATTTAACTTCTTAATAATTAACTTTTTTTTTCATTTCAATTGCCGTTGATTTTAAACTGTTTACTTTTAGAGAAACACATTTTAAAAGAATTACTATAAACAAAATAAACACGATATATCAAATAATTTTAGTAGAGTCCCTGAATTGAAGTTCACTATAGAGTAGCCTTAAATTTTGGAAACATTATTTTGATGAAGTCGTCACGAATGATACCACGTTAATCTTGTTCATTAAATTTATCTGACATGGCAAATAAAAAATAATTCAGTATTAAAGCATGGTGCAATAAACATTTTTTAATATCAAATAGAGTTATGAGCTAGAAAATATAACTAATGTAAGTTTAAAATATTTAATATCGCTTATAGTAAAATTTATAACAATGCCTGACGCTTAATCAATCAGAAAATTCTCGTTTTGGTTTTCGCTTATCCTGCTCGAACCGTTCTTCGTAGAAAGTTCTAATGTCGACAGTGACCTTCCTCGTGCTTTGAGCTAGCAAATTTCATCGTTTTCGATCGAATGGTTTAGGAACTTATCAGGGACACACACACACACAGACATATAGATTTCTTCAAATGTTGATCATAAAAGAAAATTCACGGGACTCAAATAGTAGAAGATTTATATGCCCGTAAAACTGTCTAAAATGTTTTTTGGAATCTCACTTTTCCTGCGATTTTTTCTTGTAATTAAAAACTTCACCCAACGACAATAATTTCAATTTCCTTTTAACATAGTCAATCACTTCGTAAATTTTTGGAAGCGAAAAATTTTTTTAATTATTTTTTAAAGTTAGAAATTTAAATGAAATGATGTCCAAATGAACCGCTGCCAGTCGAGAAAATATCTACACTTTTACTAAAAAAATGCATTCGTAATTTTTACGGAAACAGGATTTCGATTCCCCATTTAATTGCTCTGGAAATGATTGTTGTTGTTGTTGTGGCTTATCCTCCAAATGCCCGACGAAGTCTGACAAGATCCATCAGACCGTTGACCCCAAGGAAATCGAGGACCAGAAGAGGGTATGAGTATATGTCCTCTCTGTAAAGTCCCAAAAAGTCCAGGATGTGTTCGGGAGAAGCCTGCTCAGTTTAACATTTGGAGCAGACCTCGAAGATTCTCCTGCCTTTGAAAAACGAGAGACTCTCTGTGTGACCGCTTGCTAATCTGGAAAATACGGTTTTAGAAGCTCTGTCGCAATTGAGGGCGAGTGAAGAACCTTTCTCTTTGCCTGCATACCAGTGATGGCAGGGAGGAATCGTCCACCCTTTCGAAATTTCAGAATTAACTATGGATTGATGTTCTGAGAAGGTAAGTGCTGAAGAGGAAGAATTAGCGTGGTAACAGCCCTCCTTGGCCAGTCCACCCGCCTGCCCATTGCTGTATATGTCAGCATGAGATGGGATCCACTGGAAATAAACATCCTGGAATTTTGAAATGAGTTTGAGATTGAAAAGGATAGAAATACTAGTTTTATCTCCAATCGCAATCCAGTTGTGGAGGTGTTGAAGAGAGCTGTGACTGTCCGAAAGGATCCAGAGGTCCACGAAGTCATTTTCATTAAGAACAGCTTCAAGGTCTTGTTCAATTGCTATTAATTCACTCTTGAAGACCGATGAGAAATCAGGGTTGCGGAGGCAGATAGACAGTCTATCCCCTGGTTTCTCAATGTAGATGCCACTGCCTGCGTGGTCGTCCAGTTTACTGATGTCCTTAAAAAAATTTATGGCATTGTCGGAGATCTTATTTATGACTTCTAAGGCCAACTGCCTCAGATGAGCTGGGATCAAGTCCTTCTTGGTGAACGAGGTAGTAAAATCGAAATTGAAATGAACTCTTGGGAGTCCCTCTGAAGGATTCAGACAAGATTTTAAGGAGTGGGGCTCAATTTCATTATAAGGCAAACGTAGAAGTTTAGTCTGACTGAAGGGACTGTTTTTCTTAAGTCTTTGATTGTTATTCCAGTTGTTTAAATATTTGGAGGTTCTATTATGCTGACCGAAAGTTAGTTGAAATATTCGGTAAGGTTGACCTTTCTTCCAGTTTGGAGAGGTTGAAAGTTAGCCTCATAGAAAACTACTTTTCTAGGGCAGCAGTGCCTTAGTCCAGTAATAATTCTAGCAATACTGAGTTGAACCTTCGCCAATTTATCCAAATTGGTGGCTGAGGCGCAGCTGAAAACAGGGAAACCATACTCTAAGATGGGCCTAATAAATGTCATATACGTATTTCTCAGAGTGAAAGCATCGGCTCCCCAGTCCTTCCCCACTATGTATTTAAGAATATTTAATCTTTTTCTGCCCTTTGAGACTATATGTTCGATGTGCTTGTTGCTTGTCCCTTCGGGATCTAAAATAAATCCTAGATATTTAGGATGCTTCTCATAAGCAGAGTCCTGGTTATCCATTTTTAATTTTAGCTGGAAATTGTATAATCTTTAATTGGTGGTAAAAAAGATGGCACTAGATTTGGCAGAATTAAAACAGAGTTTAAATTCCGAGGCAAAGTTTGACAATGCAGAAAGAGTGCTATTAAGGTTCCTCTCCATTTCAATTAAATTGGTACCAGCACCAGAGAACGATGTCGTCTGCAAACAAACCAATTCCTACCCCAGTGGATGATAATTTCTCTATGCCAGCTGTATATAGAGAGAAAAGCATAGGGCTGAGTAATGAGCCTTGAGGAACTCCCTCTCCTAGCTCAACTCTGCCAGAAAAAGTCTTGTTAAATCTTACTCTGATTGACCTGTGATGTAAAAAATCCGAGATCCATGCCAAGATGTAGTTTAATTAACAATTTATGTTTCGACACTCTATCGAATGCTTTTGTAAGATCTAAGATACAGTGTGCTCTGGAAATAATAAATGTTAAAAGTGGTATCAAATTTTAATATTTACCAATCGAGGTTTTTTACAAATGTTATTAATATATCCAGACGAATTACGCATTTCGAAATTTCATAATTTTCTTTCAAATGTTGCTATTCGTATTCATGCAAATTTTAAACCAACTGTGATAAAAGGAAATATCTAAAGCTCTGTTTATTTCTAAGTAAGATATTTTGAAAACTGTTCACACTATAGAAATTAAGTTTATTCTTAGATCTATATTAACATTTTTTTAGTCACTTGAAAGTGGCTAATTTATATATACAAGAATTATTATAACATTCAATAGTTTTGAATGTTACGTAAAGATACGATTTTTAAAATTATTTTTATTCGGAAAGCTTTCGACCTTCATTTACTATAGTTGATACAACTGTGGTACAAATAGCATCACTTCTAAAAGTTTTGATTATAAAATTCTTAAATATGATCTCGATTTTGACGTTTGAAAAAATTTTTCCGGGAAAGTACAAAGCAACAGTTTCTTGATGATTCTCGTTAAAAATGCTTTTTACTCACTTCTTTTCATATGTTCGTTAACTGATGGTGTTTTCAATTCTAGAAAAGCAGTTAGAGCCGCATTGCTTCTACTTCCTCTCTTAGGCATTACCAACATCTTCGACATGATACCGGGTCCCGTAGAGGGAACACCTCAAGAGTTTGCAGCCTGGGCCTACACGGCACACATTCTTTCTGCTTCGCAGGGTTTCTTCATATCGCTCTTCTATTGTTTCTTAAACAAAGAGGTAAGTAAAATACTATCCAAGTAGGATTCTGACACTCTAAAGGAGCACTACATTTCTCCAAATTGAGCCTTTCATACATAAGGTGTAGTTTAAATCTAAATACTAAAAATGGAATAATCTTAGCATTCACACCATACGAGAAGCATTTTCACTTCCGAAAATACTAGTGCAGACGCAGTTTGAATATCGTGAGTAGTTTGTTTGAAATCCAGAATGAGCAGGAGCAAGTATTTTACTCTGCTATACATCAACAGAAATAAAAGATGCATGAATGTTTGAAAGATGTATGACTGTTTTTAGTGGTGTCATAAGGATAGGTATATTTTAGTTTTTAGGTAAATCTCTGCAAACAGTCTTAAATTATTTAATAATGTGTCATTCCTATCAGTTTCTGTTTTATTAAACCTAAGTAGAATTCATCATCGAATTCATCCTATACTTTTGTTATTCTCTCTCTGCTACGCGTATGTTTGATTTACAGACTAATTTTGTTTTAAGAATAAATGAATCTATGCATCGTAAATGAATTATTCTCAATGTATAATGTAGCGTAATAATAAAAATTTACTGACTCTTTATGTGTATCCTTTCATGTTGTAATTATAAATTTTAGTGTCGCTACATTTCAGAAATGGAGGCAACTACTTCCCTGCAAGTAGTGCCATTCTCAATGTTTCATTACACCAGAAACTATACTTGGTACTGTGGAGTGGAATACTTAGTAAAGCATTTTTTTTCACACTGAAAATTCATATTTTCCATGTAAAGTTACATATAAAAATATACCTCACACGTTCTGATAGTTACTTCATAGCAAGGTAGAGAGTGAAAACTTGTCACACGAACGTTTTATGCATTAAAATTATGTGTTGCATCTACCTATATAGGGTCTCATTCAATTAGTCGTAAAATTTAGAGTTGAAGAAAAAACGACTTAGCAAATATAACCACCTCCTCATTAACAGAAACCCTAACATGATTTGGAATATTTTGGAGAACAATTAAATTTAGAGTTCCACTTAGCGCTCTATATAGAATCTGTACATTTTTTTAATAAACAACTAAGGATACATTTATTTGTATTTATAAATAGAGCTTCATTTTGATTATTATTTATGATTTTCGACAAAAGTACTTTTTTTTTAAATCGTAGGTGCAGGAAGCTATCTGTAAACACTGGAACAACTACAGCTCTTCCAACAAATCTTTGCTCGTATGCTGGTCGAAGACAGGTAAGTTTCTAAAATATCAGCTGCTTTGGATCATTTGAATATTTAATAATGTTGCCATTTGGAGTCATGAGGCATTGAATACTAAGATTTTACCCAGCATGTCTAATCTACATTCATATACCATCCTATGGGATTGGCGATAATGTAGAATATTTGATAATGTTTAACTCCATATTTTAACCTAATATAGATGACTAATGAAGCAATAAGTTAAATTCACTGAAGGATTTCTTTCTAAAGGAAAATAACATGTGCTTCGTTTCAGGGAGAAAAAAACTGCAAGAAACTCCCAATGGAAAGAAACCACATAGGTATGAGAAAGAACCGAAACGAGCTTATTATCGAAAAGAATTCTTCAGACTCATTATCCAGTTTTCATATACTTTACTATTTTCAGACTAGACAACTGTACAAAAATCCGTTTAATTCAGTTAATTAACTTTTACATTGATTTAAGAATTATAAAATAAATAACTATAAAAATGAATCATTATATCCATAAGCATAGTAAATAAATTCAGTAATATATTTTCTATTCACGAGTTACAGTTTTTTATCTTCTCGAGGTTGCCCTTTATGTGTCATATTAAATCTCGGATATCGATCTGGCATCGATACAAAAAAAACATTATATCTCGGACTTGGACAGGCTCAGACCTCAAAAAATGAACTTGAACTCATTTTAGAACTCCACCCATTAGTCAACCAACTAAGGATATTTTACGCCAGCATTGAGATTGGGGAGACCCAATAACAATAAAAGAATAGATCAACTTTCTTATAGATTCGAAAATGGAACTATTCACTTGAAAAGAAGACTCCATTTTTGTAACTATCTCTCTAGTTCATGATCACCACGGTAGAGTCAAATTTGTAAATGTGACTTTTATGACCTACTATACTTTAGAGCAGTGATTCTCAACCATTGTGCCGCGGCACTTTTGTGTACCGCCAAATTCTTAAAATGTGCCGCCAAATATTAGGAATGATAAAATAAAAATTATAATGCTTTTTTTTATTAAGAGTAAAGTTTAAATAAAAGAAAAGTGTATATGTATATAATATTACATATATAATATTACATATATATATATATATATATATATATATATATAATTACCAAAGACTCTCTTGAGTTTGAATGAGGATGGTTTTATATACAGAATAAGTTCAAAGNCTCTGACAATCTTAAAATAAGAAGGAAGTGTTTAAATTGTCTTTGACACACAATTTTAAATAATGTTGAAATAAGTAGGAAATTTAATGACTATTAAAATTATTAATAAACAAAGGCTAAAACAAGCTAAATATTAACTTTCAAATGGAAATAAAAGCTAATCATTAAAGTAAGCTATGCAATTAATAGTTATAAAAACAAATTAACAAAGGATAACTAACAAAAAAAGCAAACTAACAATTAATAATTAGCAAAAAAACTAACTGTTAATAACTATAGAAAACAAGCTAACAATTAATAACTAGCAAAAAAAATAAATAACTGTTACTAAGTAATAAAAAATAGTCGAAAAAAATAATTAATTCCTTAATAAACGTGCTTTCGTAGTACATATTATTTTATTTCACATTCAAAATTATTATCACAAACTACTTAACACAGTGTATTATACTTAAGTAAACAACTTTTAAACTAATTTTTTTCATTGTGTGCCGTCAAATTTCGAAATCGTTAAAAGTGTGCCGCCACAAAAAAAAAGGTTGAGAATTACTGCTTTAGAGACTACCGTGCGTGTTATGTCAGTGCAAGCTGTGAGTTCGATTTTTCTCTAACAGAGATTAAAATGGCGTTATAAATCCATGGGCATAGCAAGTGTAAGAAATTAATATTTTACATGTATTTTTAAACTGACCTTACATTTACAAGTGAATTTCACACTTGCATTTTATAAAACACTTTAGCTAATCATGTCTACTCGTAGTACTAGCATGTGTTAGGTTAGGTAAATTTTTACGTAGAAGCAAGATTATTTGCGCTCTATCCCTGAAAGAACTCTTTGCTTAAGAGCGATTAGCGTACAATTTTATTCGGATCCACTTGATAGAATCCCATTTCTTCGAGGAAACGTGGAAGTCGTTATGAAATGTAAAAATAAAATCCAAGTATCAATGTAAATGGGATACTAGTAATATCAAGTATATGCAAAAAAAATTAATTTTACTTTATTTGTTATGCCCGTTGTACGACAAAAAATGGCCATAGAGTACCATTTTTTCCATTTAAGCACAAACCAAAAAAAAAAGCCCTTACAAACCAAGAAACTAAAACAAAAACTATAAACCCAAGTTTTAAAAAACGAGCACTAGGTTTAGGTAGCACTAGGTAGTAGGTACTACTGCAAGTTTGATCGAGTTTAGTAGATTTTCGTTATGTGGTCTTAAGCTCCTCTAGTATAAATGATTAGCATAATTCTTTGAATTTTTCTATCTAGAGGGTTGTTCTCTTCCAAAGATACGGCCCATGACTGAAGAAGAAGAAGAGGAAGAATCGAAAGATGATCCCGTTTGATTTCCATGTTATTCCCTTTGTTCGATGCACTTTCTCCAAGAAGGATTTTGTATGTTTTTAACAGGACCATTGATGGCATCAACCCTGTACTCTACCCATGTGTCTTTCACCTGATTTTCCTATACCAAGAATTAATGTATATATGTACTATAAAGAAACAAAAAAATAATAATAAAAAAATTAAAATTCTTCTTTTTTCTCCTCTCCACTCTTTTTTCTTGTAGCACGCAAGCAATCTATTTTTCTAAGGAAATGGATTTCGAAGATAATTAAGATAAATAGTCAAGGCCAGCAAAATATTGAAGTAAAATATTCAGTTCTCTCAAGTTTCATCTTAATAACAATTCTTAAAGTTTACATAAGACACAATTCCAATGTGTATTCATAAAAAACTTTACTTAGTAACAGTCTAATGGATGGAAGGAATGTACAGCGTGCCAAATAAAAAACAGACCAACCTGAGTAAATTTTGATCTAAAGATCGAATCTTCACGTTCTAGAACTCCATCTTAATGGCTCGAGTGGGTGACTTCAAATTGGCTAATGAATTAATGCAGACGATATCTTAAATTACGAAATCAGACACAAAAACGTATTTTCTCTGAATAAACATACCTTTTTTTCGACGGATTCATATTTTTGACCCCCAAGATATGGGGGGGTAGCCGCAATCTAGGAAATAGGATCCCCATAGTTTGGTTCGGGAGAACGGTCCAAAGTTTGGACCCCCTAATGTTAATTTTATTTTTTGCGTATTTCGCCATATTTCGCAAAATTTTAAAGCGAATTGCAAACTCTTTGCTGACAATTATAAAATTCCTTTATCTAAAGATAATTCCATGCAAAACTATTCCATGCATATTTACTATTTTTTATTATCTTATTTAATAACTGTCGTAATACTTTTGAATTATAATGCATATAAATGTTTGCATAATTTTAAAGTATCGAATTTTACATGGCAATTAACAAAATTTGAACAAAATCTGCTGAATAATTCCCGAGAAATCAAATTTTAAACATGCAACTTTTTTAAAATTAGATCTCTCAACCAATTTCGCTCAAATGTTGTGTTTTGCCTTGTAAAATTTGATACTTTAAAAAGATGTAAAAAATTGCACGCCTTATTTTTCAAATTTTTTTCGACTATTGCTAAATAAAATAATAAAAAATAGTAAATATTTGCTAAATTAAATTTTTGGATGGATTTATTTTTGAATAAACGAATTTTATGGTTGTGAGTAAAGATTTTTCGATTCTCCTAAAAAGTTCTCGAGATATTGCGAAATAGGCAAAAAATAAAATTAACATTAGGGGGTCCAAACTTTGGATAAATTTTCTGGCTAAATTATGGGAACCTTATTTCCCAGATTGCGGCTTCTCCCCATATTTTGGGGTTCAAAAATCCGAATTCGTTGAAAAAAAAGTTGTGTTTATTCAGAGAAAATACGTTTCCTGTCACTTCGTAGCTTAAAATATAGTCTGCACCAATTAATTAGCATGTTTGATGTCACCCCCTCAAACCATTATGATGGAATCCTAGATCGTGAAGATCCGATCATTAGATCAAAGGTTATATTCAGAGTGGTCCGTTTTTCCCTTTGCGCATTGCACAATGCAAAAAAATAAAAGCTCACACTTCATTGATTTTTATATTTGATCTTTTGATAGAATTTTCACTTACTAAGTATCAATTTTACATTTTCTAAGACCTTACCCCTTAAATATGTTAATTAGTTTGTGCAGACGACATCTTACGATATTGTAAGTTGAAAAATTAGTCATCAAAACGTACTTCATCAGAAAAAAAATATACAATAATTTTGATGATTTTTGATTATTCAGCTCTTCAAAATACGGGGGAGGGCTGATTAGGATTTTGATCTAAGGTTTAAGCAAGAGAGCGATCTAAAATTCAGCTCCCTTATTGTTATTTACTTTTTTCGTAGTTCGCCATATCTCCGGAAAGCTAAACAAAACATTTTTCACACAATTTTAAAACTTGTTGAACTTGTTGATAATTCCTTGTAAAAAGAATGTTTTATAATTATATATTATTTTTCATTTTTTTGATTTACCAATGATCAAAAAAACTTAGAATTGTGAAAGGTACACATACTTTTAAACTATTTTAGTCTACATAATTTTACATGACAAAATCAAGAACTTGAAACGGAACCGGTCGAACAGTTTTTGCGAAAAGAAACTTTAAATATTCGATTTCCTCACGCTGACAAAATACAGAAAAAATAACATTAAGGGATCCAATCTTTAGATCACTCTCTAGCCTAAAATATTCGATCTAATTTTGAAAATTGTGATGAGTCCTGTCCCTGTATTTTGAGTATAAAGGCTCTAATCCATCTGAAAAGTGAATGTTTATGAAGTAAGATATTGCATTTTAGAATATCGTCTACGCTAATTACCATTTTTAAAGTGACACCTTCAAACCAAGAAGTTTGAGTCGTTTGTGCGGGAAAATCCGATCATTAAGTCAAACGTCATTCATTTAGTCTTTTTTTCTTCTTTCACACACATTGCAATGGAATTCTCCAGAAAATAGGCGAAGATAATTTGAGTATAACATGGCTTATAAAATATTTAAATACCATTCATTGGCGCACATTTTCCTCCACTCACAATATTTGCTGTTCCCATTTGGCAAAATTCAAATATTTCATTATATAAAGAATTAGAGTTGCAATCATTCTTACCTATTCATGGAGGAAATGCAATTCTATCTGAAAACGACAAAAATTTTAAAGATATGTGTGTTAGCAGGGCAGCACTTCATCAGGGGACAAACTACCTGCTAACACACAGGAGCCTTTCTGTTGTCAGTAGTGAAACGAAAAACTGACAGTGCCCCCGAGGCCCCATAATGGAAAATCAAATAAGAAAAATCAATTAGAAAAATTGAAATGTAAATGCAAAGAAAAATTAATGACTAACTATCTAAAATTACACAGAGTAAGTCTTAATAATGATTTAAAAGTACGCAGAGTAAGATTTAATAAAGAGATCTCTCTTAATTATGTCTTACTCTGTGTTATGTCCATTATGGGGCCTCGGGGGCACTGTCAGTTTTTCGTTTCATTACTGACAACAGAAAGGCTCCTGTGTGTTAGCAGGAAGTTTGTCCTCTGATGAAGTGCTGCCCTGCTAACACACATATCTTTAAAATTTTTGTCGTTTTCTGATAGAATTGTATTTCTGACTTTCGAAATTAAAATAAAACAAATATGGATTTATCTGCTTTAAGCGCTTTTTGATTTTGATTTATTACTTTAAATGTTACTTACTTATTTTGTCTTTCTCTGAATTTGTAAATTAGTTTCATTCTTCGATTAGATTGGTGGAATAAAATCATTGATTTAAGCATTTTATTCCCAATATAATATAACAAGAATATCCATGGACATAAAATTTTGTCTCTGTTCTAAACGCTCTTTAGTCATTAATCCTTTTTCATACATTTGATAAAAAAAAACTATATTTACTTTAAAAATGGTACATGTTACGAAAGATTAAAATACCGAAGTGAAATGAAAAAGTTTAGCATTTAAAAAATGGTTTTTCAAAATAAAAAATGGCAACATTTCACTTACAAAGCAAAACAATTTTTTGGTACGTCGGACAAGTATTTAAAACGAAGTTAAACATTATAAAATATTAGGAGATAAATTTACAGCAAAATTTATTTTTCCTACTACAGCTGGCTTTAGGGGGAAATGTTATTCTGCAACATAAAATAAAAAGAGAGAGAATCGTATTGAACTCCATTATTTCCTATAACATGAAACAAAATTATTCTTTTTCAGCAAATCATCGTTTTTGAAACAACTAATAATGACAAACAAATCTCAATCATCCATTTGAAGTTCATTAAATTTGAATATGAATAGCATCGGAATTTTTATTTGAAGTATTACCTGATTATTTTCAATAAAAAAAAAGAATATTTATTCCTTTCGATGAACTTTGAAGAATCTCTTTTCAAAAGATTTTCAAATAATCCAGAAACTCGGAGAAGAACAAAAAAATGAAATGGAAGGCTTATAATTCTATAAAAGTTGTTATTTCAAACGCAAAATGTGAAGTTAACATTTTTTTCTTTTATGGCAAACGACATAATCCTCCTTTTATTACAAAGCTTCAAAAAACAAAGTAAAGTAAGAAACAATTAAACTAATTAGCAAGTTTGTAGATGGTAGATGTTTAAATAAGTTACGATTATAGATAAGTGATTCATTTTTTAAATTAATATAATTAAAATAATCTAATATGAAAGCATTCATGCTACTCTACGAAAAAAGAAAATTATAGTTATAGAATTCACGGCTGTATGGTGAAATTTTATTGCTATGGTTGAGACATTTCTGAATTAGAGAAATTGAAGCACTTCTTGGCAAAAACTATAAGTATTTGAGGACCAAGGGAAAATAACGGTTTATGTGCATTTTTCAAAAAAAAAAGAAGAAAAAAAATACATAAATAATAATCGGATCGCTACCTGTTGCATTTTGAAGATCATTAATCAGTAGTTTTGACAAATCATTAACGTAGAAAGTCGGTTCTCCCCGAGAGTTGTTACACAGTAAAGAAGAGTCATATTGAAGAAAATTTTTGTTCTTTTCCGCCTTGCGATTCGTTTTTTGTTTTCTCAGAATCAGCTATCATGGACATAAATCATTCTTCTTCATTGATCTTCATTTGTGACGATTAACTTTGAAATCTGAGAACCAAAAGCAAAAGAAGTAGTTCACTTTTTCAGATAAAGTAGACATTTCTTTCAGAATTAGCATTTTTCTTTAAAAAAAAAAAAAAACTCCATCTTTGTGGAAATGACTGGGTGAATCCTTTTTTAAAATGATTTCTCAAGTCTCTCTTCAATCAGAGCACATTTTAAATACATGTTTTTTTTTTCATTAATTCTGTTAATAATTCTATGAAAATTTTAAAACGAGATTCTAAAAGTTGAACGAATGCCTAGTATAAATATTATTTTCATTAATTATAAGAGACGGTTAGAATTTGTTGCTATCTTTTTGATTAAATTTTTATTGTAAGCATAGAATTTAGTGCCTCCCAAAACAATTTTTTTTATAAATTGTTATTGGTAAAAATAATTAATTAATAATCAGATAAAACTTCTTAATGTTCGTAGAATATGGTATTTTACCTC